ACCTTATAATGTAATAAATGTGTAAATGTGCAGCATGTTCGTATGCATTATACGGTGTCAAATGATTTTTTTTTGTTTTCATTTTCATTTTTTTTTTGCGAAAGAAGTGTACGACCATATTTATGTCAAGCATTTTACGCTAGCGGCTATACGTCACATGCTCACAAATCCATTTGATGTAATGTGAAATAAAGCACTTGACAAATTGTTCATTAATATGTACATTAGTTGCTGCTGTTGATCTGCTGTAACTCTTTGAATTTTATTTTACATCAAAATTATGTTGCGTTGTAATATAAAAGTAAAATTATGCTTGACTTATGGACACGAATTATGCGCCTATAGATTATTTCTTATGATTATGTAAGCCTTTGAAATGTTAAATAAAATTGTCAACCGATGGCTATCTGTGAATGCAAAATCATTTGTCGGCACCATTTCTTTTTTTGGGTAGCTAATGTAATATTTATCATTGATATTATCGGCTTACTAGTTACCAACTTTTTTTTTGCAAATCATTTACTTTCGATTACTATTGAGTCAATAGAATGATTAGAGGGTTTAAAAATGTTTGTTTATGGCTGCTTGATGAAGTTTCTCTGGAAATAAACATCGAGACTTTTAAGTGACGCATTGAAAGTTGCAAAACTGTTTGATGATTATTATTAGATGGGAAATTAAGGAGGTCAAACACAGATTGTTAGATTATTGAAGTTGACTGACCTTAGTTCGATGTATCGAGTTCTAGTCATAATCTTAAGGTTGGGAAACATAGCTTAATAGTTGATCCACATTGATCATTCCAGGAATGGAACTAGGGTTAGAATGTTAAAATTCTATCTATTCTGTACTTGGTATAATGTCAAATGTGCAAAGGTTTTTGGGGTCATCGGAGTTCTAAGCTAACTCAAAAGTATTTCAAAATTCCTCATCAACAAGACCATTCATACTTATTTCATGCTTAAATCATTAAACTTGGCTAATGACTTAAGTTGCTTAAGCAAAAATAAACAGAAATCTATTAAGTTTAATCACAGACTAATCATTGAAATTCCAAACTAATTTCGTTCAAGGAGCTTGACATCAAAAACTTCTCTTATCTAGATTCCATTATAATTCCAAGAATCAATTGCACAAAAAGATTGCAAATTCCCAACATACTTGAGACTATGAAATTTTATTGGATAAACGTGTGACTATGTATTATTTAATTCAGCTACTGTGGTGTAATTCTCTGACATATTTAGGGTGATGAAGTGACTTTGTAGTTTGTAGTGGTTGATTATACAAGTGGGTGCTTTCATGGCTGTAAAAAATTTTTAAAGAGATTTTTCATGTTTGTTATCCATTTATATTTGGGATGTGGCATTTGTAAAGCCATAGGCCATGTCATGCGAAATGTCATCGTTTTGTGGATGGGCTTTTATTGTTTTAAAGAAATAGAAGAAAATTTTTTTTTTGACATTATAATCTAAATTTTGGGTTACTAAGTGGGGTTCTATGCAAATTTTGAATGAGGTTAGCTTCTTACTACTTTGGAGCATTATATTACATACCAAAGGGATGTCCCCACCAAATATTGGACATCGTATTGAATCAATTCCCATTCAGGTCAAAAAAAAGTTCACCAAACTCGTCTATCCATCTTTGTCATTACCAAATTGCCTTCCATCTCTTGCAAAACCAAAATCCAATAAAGCATTTAAAAAATACCACGAATCTCTCACTTCTTCAATAGCTCAGAAAATGTCATGTATGAAAAAAATGCAAAACTTCTTATTGGTTAACAATCTCGATCGTGCTTCAAATATTTCATAAAAAATTGTTTACAATTTCATTAAAATTTCACAAGATTCCAAACATAATTCTTCACCACCTCCTCCAAGTGCTTTGCTAAGGGAGAGGGAAAAAGAAGCCATGAAAATGACAAGAAGAATATTTTTTAATGTATCAAAGCACAAGTGTGTGGATGTGTGTACATAGCAATAAAACCCAATGACTGTATAGTTCCAGATCATATGAAAACTAGAGTGGAAAATTTTAGTATCACTGATCTCAATTTCAACAAATCAGTGGCAATAAACACATACACACACTCACGTATGTCCGTAAGAGACACACTGACATGAAAAATCTATGTTACACCATTTGGCTACTTACAGACTTCATTGCAGTCTGTTATTTTTAGTTTTTCCAATCCAGTTTCCATCATGATTGTCGCATGTATCAATACGATTATTGCATGCACAGCATAAAATAGACAAGACGCAAAATCACTTCTTTTATTCTTCTTCTTGACAATCCATTCTTCTTTATTCATTCTCTTACGTATCTACGTATATATATTTCGATTATTGGTGACCCAAAAATTCAAGTTGAGCTTTTGACACATATTTTCTCAACGACTTTCGATTCCGTTCGGATATACTTTATATAACCATTTAACCCATTGTGCTATTATGATTTGAAATCAACAACAAAAGAGAAGAGCATAAAAAAAGTGGATAGAAAAGAAAAGAAAATGAGAGCGGACAGCAGGCGAGCAATAATAAGAAACGATTTTATGTGAGAGAATGGGAATAATAGTATGGGAGACTGAAGATGAGTTTGAGTGATGAGAGCGCATTTATTTTGCAACTTATTCTATTTAATTGACAACTTTTTAAGGCTTGGTTTAAATCTTCAACTAAGGTTCTCATTAGAGTGATTCTGATATTGATATAAGGTGCTATAAAAAAAATCACAGTCTGACAAACCAAAGCCAATCCAACCAACAAACTGAATCACTAACCGAAAATCATCCTTACCAGAACTAAGCATGCAAGAAGCGCCAGCAATGATTAAATACAGGAATAAAAAACGAAAGCTTTGTGAATATGCTTCGTTATTCTTCTTCTCTTTTCCGATACACAACAAACAAGCTTTTCGCTTGAAATGACCTGACATGACCTTGCTTTAATGTGAAATATGTTCTCGTTCTCTCCCTCAATTGCCGATTATTATTTAGGTCTCTACGGTCGACCATCAAGTGAAAAAAGATTCTTTTTGAACCTTTTTTTTTTGCTTTTTCATCCTGTTTCGCTTACCTCATAACTACAAGTACTTGTGCTATGCTGTACATAAGGAGCTAACGCCCTAAAATATGTTCATTCATTTACAGCTAAGCACACATATCTATCCATATCCACATACAAATAAAAAAAAAGTTATGAAGGAAAATAAATAAAGAGTGTTCTTTTTTGGATGAAAAGCATCCAATCCATCCATCCAATCACTTTCACATGGAAGTAGGATGAGAGGAATGAAAAAAGTTCATTGAGCTTCTTTTTATTACTTCCATTCTATCCATCCAATATAATGTGGATGTTTTTATGCGCTATTTTTCTCTTTAGAAATAAAAATGTTGACATAAATTCACTTCTGCTGACTGGGGGGTATTAAATGAATAGGGATAATGTGGTGAATGACCTCTTATTGTTATTTTGTTCCCATGAAGGTGACATAAGTCATAAACAGGAAATGCTTTAGATGAGTGGTGTGGCAATTGTTGGAGGATGATTGAGGAGTTTTGTTAATGGATTTGGGAAAGTTTGGATACTGGGATGATAAGTCTATATCTATAGACTATGAATCTAACTGAAGGAACACGTTTTGGGATTGTGAATTGAAAAATCTCCGAATATCAAACTTTATCGATCTTAGAAAACGATCTTAATTCAGTGGAATGAGTGCCAAAAACTCTTCATATGTTCTGCTGCTATGTTGTCAATAACATCAACTTTATTGTTTAACTTTTTTAAATTCCTGATTTTTTTCTGTTAACCGTTCAGTTCTGTACGACATGACAAACCAAGAAAAAAGTAAATATTGAACAGGAGACTCACTCCAAGTGTAATTAAATTTTTAAAGTACAAGCGAGCAAATAAAATTCTTCAGAGTCACCCTTATGAAAAGACATCCTCACAGTTGTTAAGCAAACATTCCTCCAGCTCTTAAAAAAATTATTTCAAAAATTTAGATTTTTTTTTTAAAAATTTCTGAGGAATTTTATTTGAAGAAAATTTATTCTTTTGAACTTGAACTGACCTAAATGTTTTGATCTGAATTTATTCAGTTCATTTAAAAATGAAATATTATGATATTTGGAGGAATTGATTGATTCTAAAATTGTAAAAACTCGAGTCAAATTTTTGATAATTTCTAATTTATATTGAAACTTAATAGTATCCCTTCAAAAAAGGAGAATGGGTGCAGCTGGTTTCTGAATAAATCTTCAGTGATTTATATTTTTAACTTCAAAATGGCCGATTTCACATGCATTAAGTCAAGCTTATTACTATTTATAAACCGAATCCTAAATCTAGTCAAGCGCTCTAGCCAAACCGTAAACTTTAAAATCTATTTACTTTTAAATTAGACAATTCCGTTCTGCTCCTCTCGCTCTTAAGTATGCTCCCTTCAAATAAATCGATTTTTCCCACTCTCGCTTCTTCTTCTTCTTTATACTCTCACATCTATTCATTTATCCAACCATCCATCCATCTATCAATCTATTTTCCCTTCATTTCTTTATCTATCCAATACTTATATATTCTCTGCTTTTTTTCTTTAATCTAATTTTAGGCAAATGAGGCGAACGATGTAATTGAAATATAAAATAGAACAATATCAATCGATTACATCAAAGATTCACCACACCATACCGCATATATACATTTATATTTATATATACATAGGATATAGTCAAGTCAATCTAATTCTATTCTATATGTACATTCGTTGCACGTAATAAATAAACAACAAAAGAGAAAAAAAAGTAAAAGAAGAATTTACGGACAGAACCAGCAAATCAAGAAGAAGAAGTGACCAGAAAGAGAAAGTCCACTAGCTGTAGAGTTTATTATTATTTTTTTTGCGCGCGCTAATTTAACTGATGTGAGAGCAGACGGAAGGGAATCGAGTAAAGACACAATTATTTCTTATCAGTATCCACAGAGTTCCTCGTTGATAGAACCAGAAAAAAATAAATATAAACTAAATCAGCACAAACGTCAGTGCAGAGAAGAAACTTTATTGTGAAGCAGATCAAGCCAAAAAGGTCGTCAAAATTAATTATATCACGTATCCAACGTCCATGTCTTGCAATCCTGTAGGACATCTTCATCCCGCGGCATTGATAATGAAACCATTGATGTTGCCAAAGGATGAACCAGATTGCGAGGCAGGCGGCGATCAAGTGAGCGAATCAAATTATGACGACAGACAACATTCTGGTGTGTACAAATCTAGTCTTGTAAATGATGATGTTGACAGTGATAATGAGGTTTCGAATGATCAGCAGCATCTCTCAAATTCACATCAATCATTGGCACATCATTTGAGATCGTCAAATGTTAAATTAGAGGCAGCACTAATGGAGTTTAATGAGGGATTAAATTTGATAAATAAACCAAATAGTAATACAAATGATGATAACAACAATACGAGTTCAAGCTATAATAGTGCAACAACCAGTAATAATGATAACAACAATAACAATACGAGTAATTCGGTCAAAGGTGATGGCGTTAATAAAACGCCACGGAAACTCTTTGAGTGCGATGTCTGTAATGTGAGTATAACTTTCCCTTTTCTTCATCTTCGTCTTCCTCTTGAGTATTTCGGGTTAAAGTGTCATGACACTTACAACAATTGAATGAGAATAATGAAAATAAGCACATTGCTGATACTAATTTTAAATGATTATAAAGTCATTCTAAAATTAAATTCATATTTTTGGAATTTTTATGAATTTTTTTGAACTTGTCCTTCTAGAATTTAGAAGGAAGTAGAGCAGAATGTTATGCAACTTCTAAGAATTCTAATTCTCAATTTTTCCTCCTTAAAAGTCGATTCAATACAAACAAACTTATTGAATACTTACATTAAAATAAGAATGTCAAGGCTTTCTGATGAATTCATGAATTCATCATGCAGAGTTAATTATTTCATTCTTACATAAAATCCGTCTCTTCCTAGAAGAAGCTTTGATTCCATACATTGCTGACTATCTTTTGATCTCTATGAGCATCCATCTAATTGCTTTACCCTTGAAGAATGAGAGAAAAATCTAGAAAAATCAATACTTTTAGTTTCATGTGACATTCGAAGATTTTGTTGAGTATTTTTTGGAAAGTGATAGAAAATTCTGAGATTTTGATGGAAGTTGTTGAGGGAATTGTTAGAAACATGACTATTTAATAGAACTTTGGCTTGTGTTTCTAGATTTTAAGAGTTTTAGAACGGTATTAAAGTTCCTTTTCTTTGATAAGTAGCCAAGCTTTTAATTAAAATTCACGAAAATTACATACAAAATCGCTCAAGTCTCACAAGCTATTGAGCTCAAACTACGCAAATTTCATCAGAAAATCAACTTGAAATCCAGCTCGCGACAAAAACCAGTTAAAGATCAAACAAATTTCCACTTAAAATGACATAATTTTCATAACTTCCAGCTGCTACATTTAAAAGCTAGTTTATTAAAGCTACCGCAAATTTGATCTCAAAATCCATTACAAAATCCTATTAACAAATCCGCTCCAGAATTTCTCAAATGCTGTAAAATAAAAAATCAACACAATCCACAAGACATTAAAAAATTCAACAAATCTCCATCAATCACGATCTGAAAATGTTTAAATGGTCGTCATGCATGTCTCATACATGATTACTAAATCACTCTGATTTTTAGCAAACTAGAGAGAAGTAAAAATAAGGTAAAGAATTGAATGAAACCGAGACTTTTGAATTGAAAAGAAATCGCTGCGCGCCATAGTGTGTTTAGCCTACTTTACTTTCCCACTGGTTGCTTGCTAGCTTCCCTCAATTTCATTTTTCTCACTCTTTTTTTTTCTTGCTTAACTTACAATATGACGCACGCGGTTTTCATTATGATGATTTTCTGGATTATGGCATGATGATTCTCTTTATCGTCTTCCACATCGTCTGCCTTAATTTTTTTTTATTTTTGATGAGACGAGAAAGTGGAACTTTGTTCGCGATCTGCATTTCTTTTGAATGGCTTCTTATACTGTATTGAGGCATACTTGAAACAATATGTTGTGTCTTAATTTGATTAAAACTAATTATCATTTATGTGCTTATTTTCATTATTCCATCGAATCTCATCACCAATTAACATTAATGCACAATTGGTGAAGATGGAAAATCAATTAAAAATCTGTAATCGCAACATGAAATCGATACACATGATATAATTTTTATTAATTCAATAAAATTCATTTCTAGATGAAATTTTCTAATGGCGCCAATATGCGTCGTCACAAGCAGAGGCACACCGGAGTCAAACCATACGAATGTCGTGTGTGTCAGAAGAGATTCTTCCGTAAAGATCATTTGGCTGAGCATTTTACAACGCACACAAAAACATTACCATATCATTGTCCAATTTGCAATCGTGGATTTCAACGGCAAATTGCAATGCGTGCTCATTTCCAAAATGAACATGTTGGACAGCATGATTTGGTCAAAACATGTCCGTTGTGTAGTTATCGTGCTGGTACAATGAAATCTCTACGAGTACATTTCTTCAATCGGCATGGTATTGATTTAGATAATCCTGGCTCTGGAACGCCATCGTCATTATTATTAGCATTAGAACAATCGAATTCTGCTCATCTTTTGCCTGCATTGGCTGCTGCTGCTAATGCAAATGCTAATGCGTTTAGTGATAGTGGAGATTCTGCAAGATCAAACGATAACATTACGCCACCGGTAAGTTAATGACGATTAATTTAATGATTTATAGTTCATTTTTTATCACAGTTTCCCATTGACTTGGTACAGATGCATTTTCTGACACCTCACGTTGAAATCTCAATGGCTGATAATAATGATAACAATTCAATGCGATTGGCATCAACAAATGGAACAAGCAATGACCATTCAAATTCACAACCAACAACAGTAACCGCAACAACCTCAACCGGATTGGATATCCAGGCAATTGTGCGTCCATTAAATACGAGCGGTGGATCACCATCCTCACCACAATCGGCTGATTCCAATTCAAATGTACCATCGAGCTCACACTCGTCAATATTAACAAATGAAGTTCAAAGTTCACGTCACTTAATCTTTGAGAATGCTATAAAACCATCGATAAGTTTAATTCCAATTAAACAGGTAAGTTTGTTGACAAAACTAAACTTTTTCATAATTTTTTGGGGATGGCCTTATTTCTTTCTGACGAAGAGGTTATTTCATCAAATATTCATATGTAATATTGATGTTTGCGACATTTTTCTTTATTTATTCATAAACATTTTTTTACGTGTCAATGAATTTTTTTTTGGATGTTCATAAATGCATTTTAGCTGGTTTTTTATGTACGGATGTGGTTGCGCTCGTATGAGCTTGACTAGGTTTTATTATATTTAAATGCACTTTACTAAGCTTGAATAACTTGACTAAACTCGATTAGAGCTCAACTAGGTTCAACTAGAGATCCATTAGGTTTGACTAGTTTCTCCTGAGCTTGATCATGAGATGTTTTCAAAATGCGCCTCAATCGAAAACTTCCCAACTCATTCCCATACGATAAGCCTCCAAAATGACCACTATTAATATTCATATTTCATTGTCTGCCCAAATATAGGAACCAACAACAAATGATGACTACTCATCAGACAGTACATTGAGCAATAGTAAGAGCAACAATCAACGATCACTCACATCAACACCAATGCCTCACATCACAGATTCGTCATCACAACAAGCATCCATAAATGCATCGTCATCAACAGCAGTCCAAAATTCATCAGGTGTTAGCAATTCAACCGAAAGTGTTACACCTACTTCAAGTCTAGCCTCAATGATTAAAGTAGGTTATGCCAGACAGACAGCACAGAAAACGTCTCTGGCGCGAACTTATAAAAAAAATCTTTTTTTGTTTCGCATTTAAAAATGAATGAAAAAAAAAATTAGGTCGAAAATTTCTAAAAATTTTGCTCTCTTTTTTCTCTTTCTCTTCGTCGTGCCATGGCATGAATTATGATTTTTATGCCATTTTGGGTCGATGATTTTTTTTTCATTCATTCATATCAAAAATAAATCAACGATAAATACCTTACTCATAATTATTATGATCTATTTCATAAGGTATCACCATTAAAGTCATTGTTGCGTGAAGATCTCAAGCGTCGAATTACAGCAAGAGCAAATAATCGTGTAGCACGCGGTAGTATATGTGGAAATAGTGGTAATGGTGGATTTGGATCATCACTATCGTCATCAAACTCAGGAATATGTAATAGTTCAAATACAATGATTGTATCACCCGAGCCTGTTACGCCGACAACATCAAATGGTACAATAACATCAACAGGAGCTGACAATGATACAAATGTATATGGATTAAATTCAAAAAAAAGGAATTTAATGTGTACATATTGTGGCATTGAGTTTCCCGATCAAACACTCTACTTCTTGCACAAAGGATGTCACAGTGAGTCTAATCCCTGGAAGTGTAATATATGCTCCGAAACATGTTGCAATGTTTACGAGTTTAATTCACATTTGCTTAGTAAAAGTCATCAATGAGGATTTGAATATCTCGTCTAGAGATAATGATTGACTTAAACTAATGCTGCAAAGATTAAAACACAGGATTGATGATGTTTAGCTAAATTCAAATTTTACACTTAAAAACAAAAAAAAAATTATATTGAATGAATTATTATTATTATAACAAATTGAAGTATATTTCACTATCGTTCGATGACGTAAACTTATTATGGGTATTTATGTGTGATTGACCAAAGTGAGATTTAAACAAAAAATATATATGAACTTTTACCATTCCTCTAAAAAGAAATTACAATGAGAAAAAAATTAAGATTTAAAAAAGCTTTTTTATTATTCTTCCCATTTTTATTTTTAAAAAATCGAGAGGAAATGACTTCTTCCTCAAATTGAAGATAACGCACACAAAACCATTAAACGTGATTTAATTTAGGTCTGGTTTTTACCAAAAAATTATTGTTTTACCTCCAAAAGTTTTCAAAAACTTAATTTTGGAGTTGAAAATTTTGTGGACAATGTATTTGAGATCTTTTCAACTGCTTTGATTTCGTTACTTATCTATTATGACATCAAAGGAATATAATGTTAGGCGTGCATCATGCCAATTTAAGAATCTGATCCAATGGAGCATTTCCATTAAGAATTTTGCTAAGTGATTTGTTGACTCAAAGTAAATAATCAATTAATTTTGCCAAATTTAGGATACAAAAATGAGGCCTAAAGGAAAACAAATTGGCAGAAAATCATCGTCAAATGCCACGCATCAAGCTTTATTGACAGAATCTTACAAGATTCGTCATTTGAGAAATGAGGCGGTGTATTGATAGGCGTATGCCACATGCATCTCTTACACCTACGTTAGAAAATCGCGCAATTGAACTGAACCGCGCATTGAATTTAAAGACCACTGACTTTTGAAGAGGTGGTTTGGGTATAGACCAATGAGATTTATGTTGATTTCCTTAAGAATATGCCAGAATGTCTTCTGATTTTGAAGTTCAGCTTGAAGGATGTTTTATGGGGGGTTGCAAAAGTTGATCAAGATTTGTAGAATTATGTCGGTATGTTCATGTACTTGGACACATCTTGTTTATAAGAAACCGATCTTCTGGAACAAATAAATGTCAGTCTATGAACAGAATCTGTTCCATCAACCTTAGTGGCAAGTTGTCCTTAAAAAACTTAAAATAAGATATCAAGAAAATCATTGAAAAATCTCCAAGTAACAGTCCACAAAATTTACCCGCCCTTTATTACAAAATAAAACTACAAAAAAATGATAAATTTAAAAAATTACGAAATTAAAAGAAAACTAAATTCTTCACAAAACAATGAGATGTTAATCGTTCGTTATTTAATCAGGATAAAAAAAATTAAATTAAATGTTTTTTCAACTTCAAATTAAAGTAAATTTTTGAGACAAAAAAAAATAACTTTAAAGCATAAAAATCCAAAGAAAAATAAGAAAAAAAAATCATTGGATCTCGCAAAAAAAATTATAAGAAAACATTTTTTCTCCTCACACCCCAAACAAATCAAAAGAAAAACTCACACAACACACTCCAAATCGTTAAAAATTCTCTCAAGTGTGTAAAAAAAATTAATTGGTGACATAAAAAATTCTTTAAATGTTTGAATGTTATAAGCTGCTGAAATTTAAGAAAAAAAACTTGAAATAATTAAAAAGACATGATGAAAAAAATTCAACAATGATTCATGAAAGAAATATAGAAATCTGAATGTGTGAGCTCAATATTCAATTAAATGAGTACATGCTACTTAATTACAATTTTTATTTCGAACAATATTTATTGATATACGTGATTTTGAGATGGAATTAAAGACTTTTCGTTTTGTGCATTCACATGAATACTATTAGTATGATTGCCACACTTTAAGATTCATTGTTACGCTTATGAATTTGAGATGAGCTAATGACGCTTGATTGTGAAACACTGAGAGAGGATAATTGGGTTTTTGTGAGAAATTTTGATAGATATAAAGGTAGGATTTATTGAAAATTCACAATCTTTAGGGACATCAAACTTGCAATCTTAAGAAGATCCAACATATCTTGAGAAGATAAGAGCGAACTATGGTCCTAAAGTAATGGAAAGCGGACTTGAAATAAGAGTTTTGGCTTCAAAAAACGCAGAATCCGTTTTTCAATTTCCATTAAACCTACAAAAAAAAGCTCCAAATAAAAAACTTTCAAAAAAATGAAGCTTTACACTTCTTTAATCAAAAAATCGTGTTCACTTTAATTATTAAATGAGGAACAAGATGACATTAATAATGTGATTGTGAGCTTGTTGTCATGACTTAATTAAAATCGAAACGTGTCTTTTCATAATGAAAATATCAAATTATGTATCTTAATTTACTTCTTTTTTTGGGAGAAAGCACAACTTCTTGTTAACATTTTAAAATTTAATTTATTTTTTTCAATAGAAAGGGAGATAGGAAACTAATTTGGGACTCTTTTGGGTAACTTAAGTAATAATAATTGGTATTTAAAAATCAAGTCAACTTTAAAATAGGATTTTTTACTAATTTAATCAAATTAAATTTGAAAATCTTTTGAAAATTTTATCAAGTTTTGTATTTTTATTGGGTCAATAATCTTAAATAAGTGAAAATCTAGTCAAAAAATCTTAAATTCTCAACAAAAAATTTAAAATTCTGCAATCTACAGCTCGGTTCTCTAAATACAAATCTTACCTAATATGTGATTAAAATTCCATCAACACCAAATTTCTCCTCTTAGTGTAAATCCAATTAAATTGACACACAATAAGCAACAACTAAGACGATTAAGCTCAATCTTTTCTTCAATTTCACTCTAAAATCTCTTTATATCAATAAATATGAAGCACATTCTTTTAATGCATCTAAATAATTTGTGAACAATGCAAATTTATTGTTTTCTTCTTTCTTATTAAGTTTCTTTTCATCTCCACAACTTTTTATTATTATTCTTTTACATCAGTGTTGTCCAAACTTTTTGAGCCATGGAACACTTAAGCCATGATCAAAGTCGCACACAGCAACACCAATGTGTCGAAGCACACAGTTTGGACAACACTGTTTTACATGAATAAATCAATTTTTTTGTTGTTTTCAACTTCTCAGCATAAAAATCAGTAAATTAGAAGTGAAATAATAAAAGATGAAGGAAAAATAAGAGTACAAAAATAACAAAGATTATTAAAAAAAAGCTAATAAAAAACCAAGTTAAAAAATTTCCTAAATGTTTGATATGTGAAAAGAGAACAAGTAAAAAGTAAGAATAAGCTAAAAAACCACACAAGCGTTATGTTACAAATGGATTAGTGTAATTATTGTGAAAAAGCATAAACTGCCCAAGTATAAAAAATATATTTTAGGAGAATCAAAAAAAAACTAGAAAATTATGAGATAAAAAAATGTGAATAAAAAAATGTAGTCATTAGGGGTGGTGGAGGTATTTGGGGGGTTAATATTGATTGAAATTTTATGTTTGAAATTGTTTGTGATTTGAGAAGTTTAAAGTAAATAGTTTAGATTCTTGAATCATTTCAAATCAATGATACTGAACCTTATCAAACCTGTTTAAGAGGTTTCAGTCAAATCAATCAAATTTAACATTAAAGTTTCCCCAATCATTGTCAAAATTTAACAAAAATATTTAATCATAATTCCTCAAAATTCTCTCAAGCCACCCCTAAAAAAATTGAAACTCAAGGAATCGAGTTCTTGCCCAAAAAACAAAACAAAAACGAAACGAATTGAAATGAAGAATTTGGAAGCAAAAAACACCAGAAAATTGCAACAATGTGAATAAAAGTGAAAGGGTGATGATGATGATACGATGTTCCAGTTATTATTAATTCTGTTATATACACAAACAAATATTTTCATTCTTTTATTTTATTTCACAGAGATGAGATAGAAATGGAACGAAAAATAAAACAAATATAATCATAATGATGATAAGCATCGGTTATATAAAGCATATATAAGCAAATAGATTAATATGAATGTTTAAAAAATATTATTATAATAGATGATGATGAAAAAAGATGAAAATATATTTTTATATTAATCCGTCCAATTAACCAAATAAGATGAAAATAGAACAAACAAAGAGAAAAAAATATAATGGAAAATAAATCAAAAAATAGAAACATAGAAAAAAGTACATAGAATAATAATCCAGGATGAACATATACACAAAAAACTTGTTACTACTTACATAAAAATTCTTCTCAACATAGATGAATCAATATTTTTCTGATTTATTTACTTAGATTTCATTCAACTCAAACAAATGGAATAAAAAACCACCAACAAACATACACTCACACACATTTTTATGAATTGATTCATCACTTGATGCACTAAAGGATATTAAAACCAAGAAATAATATCGTTTAAACATCACAAATAAAAAACAATTGATTTGGGCATAGAATTTTTGAAGAGAAAGGGGATTGTTGGCTCTAATCTGTGATAGTTGATAAGGAGGAATGTTGGAATGATCAAACTTAGAGTTTACTAACTCAAATAACCAAAATCATCAATATTTAATCCAGTATTCCTTAAGAATGACATGGGAATACTAAGAGATTGTTATCGTTGTGTTGGAAGTGTTATTCCTTGACACTCGAATATTATCTTCCTGGAAATATTTAAGAATTTATCCAGGGGATACTCCAGGCTTTACCTACAGTAAGCTTTTTGGTAAATTTTGGATATGGCTTTGCTTAAAATACTTTTAAAAATTATTTGAATTGAATGCCCACTCCAATTAAAATGGCTTTAATGCACAAAATGAATATCCTGAGATATAAAGTCAATAGGAAAATTTACTTCTTTAGAACTTTTAATGCCTTGGGACAATCTTTTAACTTCGATACAATTTTTGTTTTGACTTTTTCTGGTGCATGGCAGTTTAAATTAACAAAGTTGAGTGTACATGCCCTACAGGCGCGTAACCAGGGGGGATTTGGAGGACAAATCGCCCGAACGTTAACAGAAATTTCTTCATTTTGCTAGGAGTTTTATGAAAAAATCATAAAAATTCCCCTTGCCCTCTGA